AGGGTAAGAATTAATGTAGCTTGGTGGTGTAAAAATAGCTCTGAGCAGCTATACTTGGTTCCTCTGCTCCCCAAGTGCTGTGGGGAGGGCTGGAGGTTGAGGGGCTCAGGGGAAGCCATGGGGAGGATGGGGCAGTGGGGTGACAATAGGAGGAGGTGCTGTTTTAATTGATGCCCTTCGTGTCGTGGGCCAGGATGGGTCCCTGGAGCCACCTGCCCTCACCTCCCCAGCACCCACCAGAGTGGTCCTGTGCCTTCACTGGGCCCCTTGCCTGCTTAAGGCCAAGTTGTAGGAGGACCTCATAGCTGAGCAAACAAAACAGTGCTCTTCAGCTTGGGCTGTAACCCAGGTTATGTAATTATTGCTGAAAAATTAATTAAAAGATCCAATCTCGCCCTGCTTTGAGCTGTTGATAAAGTTTTCATCAGCTCAACCACCACCCAGCTCCACACAGCAGCTCCACTGGAGCCATAGGCTGGAGTGCTGGTGTGGGATGTGGTGGGGATGCTGGAGGCAAGCTGTGGGTCCCACCAGCTCTGCTGCTGGGGGCAAATGGTGCCTTTTGTGGCTGTGGTGGCTGGTGGCCCCAGGAGCCTGCTGCAGGCAGGGTGGGCAGTGAGCCCTGGGAGAAGTGTGGTTGCATAGGCTGGATTTGAGCTCGTGTGAACATCCAGGAAGGGTCATGGCATTTGCATGGCTCCCCTTCACCCCTGGCTCCTCATCACTGGCTGCAAGCTGTTGTTTTTGTGGAAATGGGGAAAAAAAAATTAAACCCCAACACTTCTCTTCAGAAAAAGAGAAGCTGGAGTGAGGGAGGACACTGCACTGTCTGTCTCCTCTGCCTTCTGCACAAGTTCATCACCAAACCAGAGATGCTTTGTTGTGAGCAAATTTTGATCCCATCATTTCAGCCTGCAGAAGAGAAAGCTCCAGGGTGACTTTCTTGTAGCCTTGCAGTGCTTAAAGGGGACCTAGAAGAAAGCTGGGGACAGACTTTGTAGCAGGGCCTGTTGGGACAGAACAAGGGGGGATGGTTTGGAAGTGGAAGAGGGAGATTTAGACTAGAGAGAAGGAAGAAATGTTGTCCCATGAGGGCAGTGAGCCCCTGGCCCAGGCTGCCCAGAGAGGTGGTTGCTGCCCCATCCCTGGAACCATTCCAGGGGAGGTTGGATGGAGCTCTGAGCACCCTGCTCTGGCTGCAGATGTCCCTGCTCTCTGCAGGGGGTTGGACTGGATGACCTTGAAAGGCTCTTTCCAGCCCAAACCAGTGTATGATGTGATGATTCTGTGCAGTGTTGGCAGTGGCTGTGAGTTTGTGGAGGGAGCAGCCCCACACCTTCCCCTGAGTGCTTTGGGTTCAGACTGAGGGGCCGGCACGTTTGGTCCCAGGGGATCCATAAGAGCTTTTCAGACCCATCCTGCATCATCTCTGTTCTGCTCCTGTCCAAAAGCCCTGGGACGTTTTGCTCTGACATCAGTCCTGGCAACATCTCTCCTGTCCCCCTTGGCATGCTGGAGAAAAGGGGAAACATCCCCATGCTGCTGCCCCTTCGAGATGGTCCCAGGCACCTCCCGTGCCCTCGCTCCTGGCAAAGGCAGATGGACAGCACTGCTGTGTCCTACTTCTGCAGCCTGGCAAGCAGCTGGAGCTCCTTGTGGTGCTTCTGTGTGGAAGGCACAATCCCAGCTCTGCTTGGGGCGGTGGGACTGAGGTGCCACCCCTCTGTGTGCTCCCCTGCTCCATCAGACCTGCTGCAGTGGGTTGGATTGGTCAGAGTGGAAAAAAAAAATCTAGAAAATGAGGAAGGGGTTGAGTCAGTCTCTTGCACACCAAGCATCTCATTTTTTTCTTCTTGTTTTACTTAGCTTGAGTCAATAAGCTGCAATATCAGACTGTGGGCTCCATTTCCAAGGAGGAACATCAGCCTTTGGGAACTGAAGGACTGCATAGATGTCATTCATGTCCCAAATCTCTTTTGGCAAATGAGACTTCAGGTGGAAATCCTTTTTTGCAGGGCTGTCCACTCTCCTTCTCCCCCTCCCTCCCTCTCCCAGTCTGTGCTGGTACTGGGGATCACCCTGACCAGGGGCAGGATCTTGCCTTTGGCCTGGTTGGACTTCATAAGGTTCCCAGGTACCCTGTTGGTGGCTGTGCCTGGGGAAGTCACCCTCACAGTGATGCCCAGACGTGCTGTTGGGGGCTGGGGTCAGTCTCCTGCAGCTAACTGGGAAGGCTGGAGGTCTGGAGCCTGCCAGATGCTGTCCTCCTGCTCGCTGCTGCCCTGGCACCTCTGCCAGGCAGATGCCCTGCTTGCTGTTGGCAGAGGGAGGAGAAGGAGGTCCCAGTGCTGCCTGCACCCCTGTGCTGCCTGGGCTCTCCTCCAGGGCAGGTCACAGTGGGCCCTGGGGCTTCTTGTGGATGAGGAATAGAACTAGCATGGCCAGCAGGACCAGAGCATGGATCATCCCCCTGGACTTGGCACAGGGGAGGCTGCACCTCAGATTCCAGGTTTGGTTTTGGGCCCCTCACTCCAAGAACATTGAGGGGCTGGAGTGTGGCCAGAGAAGGGCAATGAAGCTGGGGAAGGGTCTAGAGAACAAGTGTGGTGAGGAGCAGCTGAGGGACCTGGGGGTGCTGAGCCTGGAGCAAAGGAGGCTCAGGGGAGACCTTCTGGGTCTCCACATCTCCCTGACAGGAGG